GCAAGAAACTGAACAGTATTTATATCGTTTTTTACCTCTGATGCACTGCAATGTCTGAACTGTCCTGAGCACGTCCTCGACAGCCGGCGCGTGACGCATCTTCTTCTTCTTGCTTTACGGCGGATCGCAGTATTATGAGTGCATTACCGCCACCTATCTTTCAAATGGACCATTGACACTCCTAATTGAGATTGTAGATAGCGTGTCAATGGTCCATTTGAGAGATAGGTGGCGGTAATGCAATTTTGACTCTCAAAGCCGTGATTCCCATTCACCTCCATTATAAGACTGACAGACTGCAACGGTTTGAGTTAAAAATCTCTGTTTGTGTTCTACTGAAGAAACAAAGTCACCTACATCTTGGATGCCCTGGGGGTAAGCAGATAAACATCACATTTTCCTTTTTGGGTGAATATCCCTTTAAAATGGGGAAAATAAATTCACTGAAGCAACTGTGCAGGGTTACAAAAAAGGATGGAGAGCAGTCAACTAAACTTGCTAGACACATTAGAACATGTAAATTAAAATACTAATGAATACAGAAGTACTTTTGTACCATCTATTTTTATTTGCCGTTTTGAGCTGTTAAAGCTGACATAGTTTTAAAAACTTAATGGGAATCTGTAGAACACGTATATTTGACATATATGACATAAAATCAGCAAGTTGGTGAATTTCCTGAACACATGCTTGTCTGTAAGAGCAAAAAAAAAGTACTGTAAAAAGTACCTATGGAAATAAAATAAATAAAATATATAATATTAAAAATAAAACATAACCACAAAACAAGATTTTCTTCTATTGAAATGTACTCTTGTTTTTGGTATGATCACACTATCGTTCAGGAGTTTGGATTTAACTTTTTTAATGTTTTTGACCGAAGTCACTTCTGCTCTCCATTGGCTGCATTTATTTAGGCTAAATAAAAAAATATATAGTAAAAACAGTAATATTGTGAAATATTATTACAATTTAAAGTAACTGTTTTCTATTTGAATATATTTTCAAATGTAATTTATTCCTGTGATGTAAAGC